TGTCTTAGTTCTGTACACGCATCCCCCACAACTATGTCCTGCCTCTTACATGATTAAAAGAGCGAAAAGAAAATTTTGAAGAAGCAAACTATACCTTTAATTCCTGCTCCGTGAGCGACTCTTCGTACCGGAGCATTGGCCTTCCAACCATGCAGGGAAAAACCGCAGTGGGAAAATTCTCACCCGCAAACCCGCATTTGATGAACTGCACGAAGAATAATAGTCACTTTCTAATGAGATATCAAGATCCAAAAAATCCGGACAGCAAGGAGGAAGAATAAATCTCTCTCGAGTCTGGAGGTGGTATTTATCTCTCTCTCCAGCAGACGCTCTGGAACGAAAAGAGCTCGTGTATGAGACACAATAAATTTGTCTTTCTTTCCCAACCAGGAAAAGATATCTAGAAAGGAGTTTCCTTTCAGGGAGAGCCCAAACAAGCCAACAGAACAAATATAAATCGAAAATGCGGCTGGAAGATCGTCCTGAGAGAAATCACGGATTCTCACAGAGAGCAAGCAAGAGCACGGATTATCCCGACTAGCAGTGCCTCAAATGCAGCAGGGAAACCAAGGCGAGAAGGCGAGAGAGAGGAGAAAGAGAGACCAAGTACAGATTTCCTCCCTAGAATGCACAGCTGCGAGCGCTGGAGCCAAATTTCGAGATCTTACCCCTGTTCCATTGTCACAGACGATGACATCGTGTGCCATCGCCAGAGGATCGGCGCCCCCAGCACCTCGCGAGAGAGGAAGGGACCACAAACCCTAACCCCGTTATTTTGCTGTAGACAGAGCATTAGGGTTTTTCGGGGTAGAGTAGTGCTATGCAGCATTTGCGGCATCGAGGAGGAGGAGGAGGAGGAGCTACGCCACTGCTCGGCGGCGCGGACGCATCGATCGCCGCCGAGAATGCCGAATTCAAGGCGGCGTCCGGGCGGACGCCCATGGGAATGCGCAAGAAAGGAATGGGGGTGAGAATGTGGCTCGTGATCAACAGCTCCGGCGTCCAGCGCCTCGAGGCCGGTAAACACGCGATAATGCGAAGAACATCGCTGCCGGCTAGGGACTTGAGGATTCTGGACCCGCTGCTGTCGTATCCATCCACGATTTTGGGGCGGGAGCGCGCCATCGTCGTGAATCTAGAGCACATCAAGGCGATTATCTCGGCTCACGAGGTCCTGCTTCTCAATTCCAAGGACCCTCTCGTTGCTCCGTTCGTGGACGAGCTTAGAGGTCGGCTTCCAGTTCACTACAACGCTCTGGGACAACAGGTAATAAAAGGAAGTTTTATTCTCTCGTACTTTCTCTTATACGTAAGAAACTTTCCAGGTTCCAGGGGATGGTGGTGGTGGGATGAGCGACACCGAAATCCCATCGAGACCATCTCAGGATGATGAAGCTAACGGATCCATCGACGCCTCCATCTCATTAGAAGCTCCTGAAGGTTCCAGTTTCAAGTTTAGCAATGATCTCCAGAACAAAGGCGGGCCTAGCGTATTGCCTTTCGAATTTCGAGCTCTGGAAGCTTGTCTCGAGGCTGCTTGTAGTTGCCTTGATGCGGAGGTGATTCAAGCTCTTTCCGGGTTCGCTATTTGAATTAATCGTTTTCTTACAGACGAACGCACTGGAACAACAAGCATATCCGGCCTTGGACGAGCTCACGTCGAAGATCAGCACACTCAATCTCGAGCGTGTAAGATTGATAAAGTCTCGGCTCGTTGCCATATCAGGGCGTGTCCAGAAGGTAAGAGCTATCATTTAGATGCTTCTTACGCTTTGGGTGATTTTTTCTTTTTCTTTTTCGTGATTTTGAATCTCAAAGGTCAGAGATGAGATAGAGCAATTGTTAGACGATGATGGAGACATGGCTGAAATGTACTTGACAGATAAACTATCTCGCCAGCAGCTGGATGGAGTGCCATCGCCTCCTGCCTATGACATGGACGAGGAAGAAAAAGACAATGCTGAAGAGAACGAACAAAGGTAGGTCTTTGTACTAAGTTCTGATTTAATCCTTGCTTTCAACAGGCTCGATGAGAGACAGGCTGCCGAGAAGAACCAATTCATGTAAGAAAGTTTCCTTTCACTGCGGTGTTCGCTGAATTTTGGACGTTTCCAGGCCCGACGTGAAAGCGGAAGCTCAAACCGCGTTTGAAGCCATGCGAGAAACTTTGAGTGGACTTCACAAGGGCGATGGACTCAGCAGCAGCTCCCGGAGCAGCAACAAGAGCAGCAGTAGCCACAGCAACCACCCAAAGCAAAACCTCGACGTGGAGGAGCTGGAGATGCTGCTCGAGGCCTACTTCGTCCAGATCGATGGCACACTCAACAAGCTCTCAACTGTAAGTTTCTCTTTACTCTTATTCCAAAGAGATCGATTCCAACCTTTGCAAACTTGTGCGCAGCTCAGGGACTACGTCGAAGACACGGAAGACTACATCAACATAATGCTGGACGACAAGCAAAACCATCTCTTGCAAATGGGGGTGATGCTCACGACCGCGACGCTGGTGGTGAGCGGATTCATCGTCGTCACTGGGATCTTTGGGATGAACATAAGGATCTCTCTTTTCAACGAGGGGACGCTCACGCAGTTCCTTTGGGTCGTCGGCGGCGCGGGCGTTGGAGCGCTCCTGGTGTATATTCTTGTCATTGGATGGTGTAGATATAAGCGCCTCCTTGAATAAATCTGGGCCGTTAGATATGACTCATATTGGGATCGTTCTGCTGTGACCTAACCCTAGGGCGGCCATGGCGGTATTTACATTCGTGTGCAAGCACACTGGCGGCTCTTGGAGCGCCAAGCAACGGGGAGGCGATCTAGAAGGCAGCGCTGCGAATCCGCTGGAGCTCCAGAAGCAGATGCGCGATCTGGCGCTGCAATCCGCGGGCGCCGGTGCCGTCTCTGTGGATTTCGCGCTCATCACACCCTCAGCTGGGGTTCTCCAGGTAAGCGATCGTTCGTTCTGTGCCTGGTTTCGTTTCTAGGGTCCTGGTAAAAGCAGAGGTTTTTGATCTTGTAAATGAGAGAATCTCTCGTCGATCCCAGGTAGATTTCTCTTGCATCATTTTAGGTGGTGAGCTGCTGCTGTGTCCTCCAGGCAGATGGTTCAATCCATGGTGCTAAATTTGTTTTCTTTTACTCTTCTAGATCGAGTTTGCTGAGTGATGTAAATCGAAAGACCGATGAGCTATGCCAGTTTTTGGCTATCGCTCTGTCCATGAGGTTTCTTTTATGTCATAGTTACACTGACAGCAATCTCTTGACTGATATCTTTAGTTTACTCGTTTTGAGTCGCTCACTCTTCGTGTTGGTGATCTAGGTGATTGTTGGAGGCGGCGCTGGCGGAGCAGCGTTCGCTAGCGGTGGTGGAGCTCCAGCGGCTGGTGGCGCCGCTGCCGCTGCCCCAGCCCCAGCGGAGGAAGAAAAGAAGGAAGAGAAGGAAGCCAGCGAAGACGAAGACATGGGATTCTCCCTCTTCGACTAGGTGCGCTTCCCATTGCGCTTCTTTCCTTGTTTTCTTGCTCAAGCTAGAGAAACTTACGATTTTTGGATCACTCTTGTCTCGTTTGTGGGCTTCTAAAGATCTGGGGCCTTTCCCGGCCACTCCAGCTCCCAACTTTGATCATCCACAAGAAAACCAGCCACATTGGAACGTTGTGCCTTCGTCGCTCCCATACGTAAAACTTGAGGAGTGAAGAGAGAGGTTCGAATATACCCTTGTCCGCTAGGCCGCCGGCGGCGATGAGGCACTTGCCGCCGGAATAGATGTGGTGCGCGATGAAGAGGCGATCCGACGGCGACGTAGTGGAGGAGATCGACGGCGAAGAGGGCCGCGCTCCACTCCATGATCTTGTTCTGGAGGGCGTCGAGGATCCAGGTGATGGCTAGGGTTGATGCGACGAGGCTGTGCGCGAAGGCGATGACGCTGCTGCAGGCGCGGATCCGCCTGGCGCCGCACCAGCGCCGGAAGCAAATCGACCAGGCGATGATGTACTGAGCCAGGATTGCGCCGGCGCTGCTGCCGCCGCGAGATTCTGGGCCTGGGATTGAGCTGCATTGTCAAAATCAAATTTCATCTTGCGCGGGAGAACTTCACAAACGCTTTGAGCACAACTTCCATCCCGATTGTAGGTAGAGCTCAAGACGGACCAAGACGTGTCCAGTTAGTAAGTCGTTAAACGGGTACACAAGCCGGTTTGATGGGACCACATACCGGTTCATCACAACCACACCAGAATGTTTCCTGGCCGACTCAAATACCGGAGGTGCACTGCAAGTGTAAACCATTGCCAAGAGGAAGGTCATCAAAATAAAGAGCCTCGTCATTGAAAATCCAATAGAATGTAAGGGTTTGGTATCATTGTTATGACAAAGTGATTTCCTCTTTTTTGTTTTGCTGAAAATATACTTTAGAGTTCTCTTTTGTTTTGCTGGAATTACTTCCAGTAAAACAAATGCCAAGAATTTCTTGTTAAGTTGGAAGGGGATGGGGACAAGAACAGGACCTGGAACTCTTTCAACAATGCCCTTCACATTGAAAGGTAGAATCTTTGTTAGGTTAGTATTGTCATTGAATCAATATAAGCAAATTTATTTCCTTTTCCATAGTTTATGTTCTTACATGTCTATTTAAAAAATGCTTTGGAGATGTGACACCGTGATATTCAGCCTCCAAAACTTGAGCCATGTAGTGGAGGAGCTTGACAGCGAATAAGGCAGTAAATGGGGGAATTAAATCCAGAGTGTGAGATGGAGAAAATTTGCATGGCATTATATGGTTTTTCTTGTTAAATGGCATTTATGAAAAAAAGAAAGAAATTGGGTGAAAACTTACTAAATATGGAATTGGAGAACTAGTCCACAATGTGAACAACTGAGCTAAAACATTGGTCCCAATGCAAACTAGACCTCCAAGCAAAAGCCACCACCTCCGAGGCCATAATCGAGCCTCTATTGTCTTTAAAGTGCTAGAAGCCCATGTGTACCAAATTTGCCACTGGCTTGGGGTCACCGAAAACTGTACACCACACCTGCTATGCAATCCTCCACTGTGTCTGCCAAGTCCGTGTCATCGGCAGCCAATCACGGTTGCAGTAGTAGATTCAAGTGTATGATCATCGATCACGCCTCCAGTAGAAGATTCAAGTGTATGATCATCAATCAAGGCTCCAGTAGAAGATTCAAGTGTATGATCATCGATCACGGTTGCAGTAGTAGATTCAAGTGTATGATCACCGGGTTCCTGAGGATGAGCTTGATGGCCTTCTTACATGCCTCCTCAGTCGGCTCATTTGGCACTCGTTGAAGCAAGTGGCCACTTCATGTCCATCTTGTAAATACAAACGCTTTATCGCTGCTTTGGTGAGGGGAGCAATGGTGCATCCTTTTGACACCTCTTGAACACTTGGAATATCAACCACCCCACAAATGTTGCCTGGGAAAATGAATGAAATAGAATCCCAAGTCTATAATTCATGTCTCTGTCTTTATCTTGCAATAGTGAGCTTCCAGGGGACTTTCTAAAATGCCAGGAGGTGCCTCCCTCTCCATGGACGAAGAAACCTTGGCAATTGAAGGGCACACAGTTAGAAACTCAGCCAGTCAAATAAAACTGAAAATATTACATTGCTGCGATCTGAATAACAATCCCAGCGTCCAAATTTGTATCTCCCAAACCAACACATCCCCAATCTCACAACCGTAGATAACTTTCAACTTCAGAGTTCTCACTGTTTGAATGGGAGCACAAGAACTTGGTCATATAGGAGCAATCTGAGCCGGAAGAAAGTTTTACGCACCATTAAGTCCATGGGAATTAATCTCCTGTAGGCGTCTCCGTATGGTTGTAACATAGCCTTGTCGATGAGGAAAAGTAAAAAGCCCACATATGTTGCATTGGCTCTTGGTACGGTGTAAATGTACGGATGGACGTGTATAAAGGAGAGGAGAGAGAGTAGGGTCATTACTTTTGTACCTTTTTTCGAAGCAAGGAAATGAAATGGCTTCCCATCTTTGACATGCCAGACAGGGATTTTCATTTTCCATGTAACTAGTGTCCAAGCTGAGGATTAAGATCTATGTTAATATGTTTTCAAATCACTTATGATGTGCTTTGCATTGCCTATGTTAATTGTGTGGTCTCATTTTATTTTGTTTGTATGTTTTCTTGGGTAGGGTTCAAGCAACCAGTTCTCAGCATTACCTTCATTGACAGTAGGTTATAAATGATTGTCCACTCGGTGTTCGGGATGTCCAAGTAGTGCTGGATTCCTATTGAATGTCTGCTGAAGCACTTAGTTCTTTTAGTATTGGGATCTAGCACTTGTGATAGGTGACACTTGGATTTCAACCCAACTTATGATGATTTGCAATTCTTTTTTGTGAGTAGTGATGTATGTTTGTTTTTCTTTGCATTTTTGTTTTGGAGCTTGAGACATACAGACTTCTAGATTCAACCCTCAATTAAATATACACTTTTGGAAAATGGATTCTTCTTCATCATTGACATTTTCCTTTGTGGGTGACACCCTCTTTTCTACACACTGGGACATGTGCACCCTAGTGAGTCGCCAAACTGGTACAGTATAAATGTATGGATGGATGTGTATGGTGATATAAAGGAGAGGAGAAAAAGTAATGTCACTACCTTTGTACCCTTTTTGAAGCAAGGAAATGAAATGGCTTCCCAGCTCTATCAGAGAATTCCCTGGTGTTGTTCACCATGTCTCTATTTTGACACAAGTCCCTGGCAAAGGGAAAATACCATCAAAAATTAGCATGCAAAGTTGGAACTCTTACCTTCACACGCAACCAATATGTTGTGGCCTCCAGAATTGGTGCCGCCATGTTGACACTTCCTGATTCCTCAAAAATTTGCAATGCCACTGTCGCAAAAGAGTCTCTCGTAGTTGGCCCTGGCCACCCTACATTGTCAGGATTTTGTCCTACTGCTCCCAGTGTATTGCCTGTTTGTTTAGCATGTGCCGCACAAAGCTTGCACCATTGGCCCAATCGAATTCCTTATGGCCACCAATGCTCTTGAGTATTTCATCTTCCATGCAGTTTGCAACACCACAATGCTCAAGCAGCTTGTGTTTAAGCCACCGCACCAGTGACAAGAGGCCTTGGTTGTCAGCTAGATTCGTGATGAGTTCAACTGCGGAGGTGGTGTCGTTAATTGCGGCAGCCTCCTTGTTATGCAACGGTCTGCATCTTGGACTGCAAGAGCTGCCCTGTACTCCTTGCACGCATCCATCCACCTTCTCTGCTTAATTTCAAACCTGCATGAACCTCTTGCTAGCAATAGAATAAACTAGTATTCTCGAAGTGCTGCTTATGTGGCCATATGTGCATTGTCTAAAATATCTGAAACAGGCACTGGAGCCTCGGATTGCAGTCTTAATCGGGAAAGGATGGCAGTGGACTGCCACTACTTCACCCAACTGTTGCCTCCTCCTGTGGCCTCCACGTCCTTGTCATCTTCAGCTTCTCAATGGTGCAGGTGTTGGTGCACTTGCCACAAATCAAGGGTGGTAAAGTATTAAAAGTTTTGTGGAGTTTTAGCACTATCACTTTTCTTCAAGCCCGAGCAGAGCTTTGGTAGAGATTCCAATACTTGTCTGTCATGTGGTTCATCATGTTGTACAGAAAAACTACAGTAGCCTAGCATACATTGCTCTTGTTGCAAACCACCTCACGTTTCAT